AAAAATTGAATGATTGATTCTGTCTCCAATATGCATTCTGTTTCATTCTGATGCGTGACGTGAAAGTCCTCATAAAGGTCCATTATCTTAAAAAAAAAAAAAAAAGTCATTTAATTTATCTTTCAAGAATTTGACAAAGCAATAAATATGAAATATTATTATTCTCTAATAATTATTTAGCTCTAAAAGAATTACGAAAAACAAATTAAAATATCAGCTATAAATACAACGTTAATTACCTGCTCTAGATATATTTATCTTGAATTTTATGCCTTGCAAGACACAGCCGACAAGAAGTATCACCCTCTTTCAAAAATAACAGTAGGTTCACTATAATATTATGGGTATCAATACCATATTTTGTTAATTCTTGTACAAGTCGTTCTGTCTCATAAAGCGACAAAAATTCTGCTATGCAGACACATATAAATGTCATCTGTTGTGGATTTCTGAACTGTTCGTTAACTTGCCGAATGACAGCAAGCATTTCCTCCATCTTATTGAAAAATGTATCCACATTAAAATCCGTTAATCCCAACAACGAACTTATCTATAAAAGAAAAATCTTTTTTTCAATTTAAATAATTCAGGGAAGATACTTGATATACCTAATGTTAAAATGTATTAATTTTAGGTGAAATAACATGGATTAATTCTAACCTGTGTGATGAAAGGACTAATCTTCATTTTTAAACGCATTAATTTTCCCAGTTCTTTTTCAACCACTTGTGGAAATGATAGTAGCCTCAATGTGTGCCCAGTAGGTGCAGTATCAAACACGGCGTAGTACTTTCGGTCCCGCTCCTCCATGAGGAATTCATCGCCGATCATGCGGACCATCATGATAACGGCATGGCTGGTATATTATTAATTATAACAATTATTATTTATATGATTATTTGTATAATTTATGTGATCGTTATATTTATCTAATTTATATGATTATTACGAATAACTGATGAATAACTGCAATCTCTCGTTGCAGTGTGGTATCACCACGTCGATAGCACACACACCGCAAGCTGGTAGGCTCAACACCCCGCGCGACGGAGAGAGAGTATGCGTTCACTCAGCTCGGCCAAGACATTCGGACGAACGGCGCCAACGACGACGACGACGACGACGACGACGACGCGATGGTGCACGAAGTGTTCGCTCGCTCGGACTCGCAAATCCACCCGTGCCGATAGCGAGCATCAACGCGGACGTTAGATGCGCTCGACGATCAAAGGAAGGTAAGTGGCCGTGGAAGGAAGAGGCAGTCATATATAGGTATGATTGCCTGATATACTCTATAAAAAAAAGAAAAATAAGCTCAATTTAATTATTTATAAACTTTTTCTATTTTGAATTTTACAAAGTAATTTACTCAAAGAGTAATATGTTTCAGGTACGGTGTCTTACCTGAGGTGAGAACTTCTCTTAAATATATATATAGGAGACCGATCATATGACGACGGTAGTGGAAATTAAAAAAAGCATAAACTTTAAAATTACCTCGGATAGCTTTTACCTTAGAACGCTCTCATTCAATATTAATTAATTCATTCATTCATTCATTCATTCATTACGTTCATTCTATATTATAGTTTAATAATGTTTCTATATTTTAAAATATAGAAACATTATTAAACTATAATATAATATTTCATCGAGATTGTTCAAGCTACAATCATTCAATATCAAACATTCATTCATGCATAATCCATGGAAGGTCACATAGTATTAATACCGCGTGACACTTCCATGGTTGTCTAGCACCGCTCTTAATCTTTGGGGCATAGAGTGCACTAAATTGTGGAATAGCGCGGGCCTTGCGCGGAAACCCTCCCACACATTAAGGACGTGTTGCTCAAGTTCCTCGCGTGTACGCCGAATTCTTGGATTCCACTCTTGAACAATTATGCCCTAAAGATTTTCGATCACATTCATATCCGGAGATTTGGCTGGCCAATCCAACGTCCTAAGGTTGGGTTGTGTGGCCAACCATTCCTGAACCAATCTCGATCGATGCACTCCTGAATTGTCTTGAACAAAATTGACACGAGGTACACCAGGAAATGTTTCCGCTATGTATGGCATCATATTAGTGCGCAATATGTTGACGTACTCCTCACCGTTCATACGCGGTGTGGTGCGTACCAACGGTCCAGGGCCGCGCGAGGTCATGCACCCCCAAAACGCTAACGTGATGCGGCCACTTCGTTCGCGGAAATATACGTTATTCGCATCGTACCTCGTGCCTTTTGTTCTCCACAATGTCACACGTCCAGATTCATCCGTTGAGAATACTTTTTCATCAGAGAAAATAGTATTCTCCCATTCATTCTCCCAAGCCAAATGTTCAAAGGCAAAAGCCATCCGTTGGTCTTGGTGATTTTGCGTTAACGCTTGTTTTTGAGCAGGGATACGATGGTGATATCCCTGTTCTCGCCATCTACGCCGAACAATTTCCGCGGAACAATTCAAATTATGTTCCACTACCGTGTGTTGTGCTGACCGGAATCCGTTCGCTTGCATCAAATTGCGGAGAAGTTTGTCGTCTTCAGCGGAAGTACATCGCGGTCGACCTGGTATCGGTCGTGGGTTCACGTGCCCTTCTACTCGCATTTGTTGCAGCACTCGATATACTGTACTCCTCTGTAATACGTTAAGCGTATATTTTAATGATTAAATTAAATAATGCAATATAGACGAGTTTAATGACTTGTAACTTATCCAAATAAAGAAGTACAGAATCATAAATGCATGGATACTTTACATTTACGTGACATATTCTCGAAACCTCTGTAACCGTCAATCCTGCATTTGTATATGCAAGTATTTCACCTCTAACACGTTGCGGGGTAGGACCAGGCATTTCAATATTGTATTTATATATAACACAAATATT